TTTCGTCGTGTTCACGCTTGGTAAGCGATGTGAGTGGTAATCGGATGCCAGACTGACGATACAGTCGTCGTCTGGTGACCCATTTATCGTCGGTCCGACGTCTAGGATTACCCGCGGGAAGAGAGGCTACCAGAGATTAACGTATGCAACGTCGCTCTTAACAAAGGCCTCTCTCTTTCTCTTTCTCTCTCTCTTGTACAAGAGTGTACGAGAAAAAGAAAGAAGAAAAGTGCAAATATACAACTAACGTGTACCTCCTACAATAAGTGCGAGTGCGATAGCACGTGCGAATATATTTCGAGGTACGAGACTGGACTGACAAAAAAAAAAGAAAAAAAAAGAAAAACGAGATGCACGTAAAGTTGCATACTCGTCGAGAGAACAAAGAGTGAGAAGAGAGATACTTGCATCTTTGGTGAAACTGCTTGCTCCAATTTTATACACAAAAACGATACGTAAGTACGTTTACGTATACTACTCGTGGGCTTTTATATATATATATATATATATATATATGAACGTGTATATGTATATAAAGTACGTAGGTGATAAAATGAATGATAAAGTGTCACGAATATATACAAAAACCACATTCTTGCAAATATTTATATGCATTAATTAATTATATAAACTTTTGCGGCTTAACTCTGTTAGAGTTAGAGAAGGATGGAAAGAGAAATATAGAAGGCGGATAGAGAAGAAAGAGAGAGAGAAAGAGAGAGAGAGAAAGAGAGAGAGAACGATCAACCTATCCACGTGTAATCGTTACCAAGCATCTCCTTCTCTCTCTCTCTCTCTCTCTCTCTCTCTCTCTCTCTCTTTCTCTCTTCCAACTATGCAAGCTAGTCTTATATATATATATTAATGTATATATGTATAGAATGCATATGCGAGCGCATGTGCACTGGATAGCATGAACGCGCGCGTGTATATACAACCAGTCGGCCGCTAATCTCATTATTACGACGCAGTGATGAGAATTGAAACTTTGAATCGAAGAAGATGCCACTGTCGGTGTGAATAAAAAATAAAAGAAAAGATGAAAAGTGAATTTAAAAAAAAAAAAAAAAATGTAACGTGATAATAAATAATATTCTACGAACAAAGAAATCTCCCTTTCGCATTAAAATGTGTTCGAAATAATTAACAAGTTTCTACACGTCGGTTAAATAAAGCAACGAGTAAATGATTATTTCTTTTCGTGTTTTTTTTTTTTTTTTTTTTAAAGAAGCTTCGTATCATTCAGATTACATACATGCACATGACAGACATAATCGCTAAAAGAATTATCGATAAATAAATGAGAACGTAGGTAACATCGGCTGACAATTGCTATTTTACAAGTTACACCTTCAATAATTTAGAAAATTAATACGTAATTAGCACCCGCTAGCGATAACGAACGGTAAGCTAATTACGTTGATAAGCGAGCGATCATTGCATAAGCGTATAACAAAATTCATTACGTGCGACAGTAACGTCAATTTTATCACACATCATCGTGACGAATCTTTTCGGGTTTTTTTTAAATTTTTTTTTTAATTTTTTTTTAGTTTTTTTTTAACCTTTTTCGAAATAATATTTAAAGAGCAACGTGCGCGCGCGCGCGCTTTCCTTTTATTTTACAAAATGTTTGACAATCAAAGAAAAAACGAAAGATAAATATTCTCGTGAAATAGATCGAAAAAGTTAATATAATTACTTTAATTTTTTTTTCTTCGAGTGTATTAGACCGTAATGAAATATATTTCGAAAGAAATAGAAAAAGGAAGAGAAAAAAAAAGTAATCGTACAAAAGAATAAAATGATTCATACTAATTTTTCCAAGGATCATGAATCATATATAGGAAATTAAGTAAGAATTTGTAATAGTAATTCCACTTAAAAAGCACGAAGAAAAACGACAGTAATGTCTTTCTATCGATTACACGTTACCTATCGAAATCTAACGAACGAACGAACGTACGAACGAACCAATAAGTAGAGACGATATATCCGAGAAACTTGTTCCGGCCGAACGATTATCACGAATCCTTGTTGCTCCGATGACGTCGAAGCATCGATTCGAACTTTTCGAGGTATCGTCGTTGGGTGCATCGTTGTAAAAAGGGAGATGGGAATGAGGAAAGAAAGATAGAAGAAGAAAAAGGAGAGAACGAGTGGAAGACGTGGGGGGTTGGGGGAGGAAACGGAGAAGGGGAGAAGGATAGAGAGGTGCCGTCTCGTCATTTTCGTCAATTTAACTTCTCCCTCCCCATGGAAGTTGTAAGGGTGGAAGAGAAGGTTAGTTCGGCCCCCACCGTTGCACTTTTCGATGTCCGCCCCTGATTCGTTTCCCCTCCCTTCATTCTATCACCCTTCTTCGTCGGTTGCTTCGTCGTCGTCGTCGTAGTCGTAGTCGTAGTCGTCGTCGAAGCGAGGTCAATCGACAGAGAGGGCGAGAAGACGATCCCCACCCCTTTCGGCAACCCTTCTCCCCACCACGGCTACTCAATATCGTTTCATTACGCACCCCCTACTTCCATCCACCACTTCTTCTCGTCTATCTCTCTCTCTCTCTCACCCTTATCCACCACCACCACCATCAGAACACCACCTCCACGAGACTCGATCTTCTCTTTCCACTCGTCTCTCTCTCTTTCTCTCTCACGCTCTCTCTCTCTGTCTGTCTCTCTCTCTCTCTCTCTCTCTCTCTCTCTCTCTCNTCTCTCTCTCTCTCTCTCTCTCTCTCTCTCTCTCTCTGGTGCTCGGCGACGAAACACGAATGCCCACGAATTTTTATTGTTACTTCCCGCGCGCTGCTTCCTCCTCGGTTTTGCTCCTTACCCACCACCCATTCAACCCTCCCGATTTTAACCCCACTACCTTTTCCTATTCCTCCTCCTCCTTCTTCTTCTTTCTCTCTCCTTTCTCCTATCCACTCGACATTCGTTTTTATGTGGCTTTTAACGATCAGTGCCAACTGCACCCATCGAACCTTTTATCTATCATAGCTTCGCGAATAATTTCGAATAAACGACAAATAATATCTAAAAAGTAATTTAATATTCTAATTCATTCGTATAATTGTTATTAGTAACTATATCAATGAATAGAAATAACGTTTGGCATCGTTTCAAAGCAAAACAAGCTGTAGGTAGAAGAGTTAGTTAGAGTGGAAGCCGGTTCTAATATTTGCAGCACGTGCGCTAGACTAATACCATACCACGCGTTTAGAGAACTTCAAGAAAAACAAACTTTAAAGCTTGAGATGCGTTTCTCCCTACCTACTCGTTTCTACTTAGAGTCTCCACAGATGACGTTGACGTTATCTCTTGGTCTTTCCGCGTTTTCTTTAAATTCAAAAGATATTATAATATCGATCGACATGATGACGTTAAACTCGAAGTAATTTAGACGTACACACAGTAATTAGACAGAAAAAAGCGTTGTTTCTCGTTGATCTTTTTCGAAACACGAATCGAAGAGGAGGAGGAGGATGAGGAGAACATTGTTGCGATCGGCTGTCCATCGTTACATCCAATTCCATACTCCCTCTCTCTCTCTCTTTGACGCGGGTTACGTGCAAACGTTCGAACGAGGTGGATTAGAGCGTGCGTGATCGCGTAGAGATTGGTGGGAATTTGAAAAAAAAAAACAAGCGTCGACAAGTGTTTCCTAGGACACGCAGATTTGGACAAAGAGACAGGGAGGGAGATAACACTTTGGGTCTAATTGTAAGTTATCAATGTCACGTTTCGAATGTTGTACCGACACCACCAATGTCTCCGTTTCTTTCGCGACACCTCTCGTCAGACTTCCCGAACGCGTACTGGTCGATCTTTGAAGATCGTCGAAAGGAAGTCGAAGGGGGTGTTACCGTGAGTGAGTGAGTGAGTGAGTGTGTGAGAGAGAGAGAGAGGGACGGACGTACACACGCACACGGTAACTCGCGGAACCACCGCCGCGACGAACCACCCTTTTGGAATGTTCGTGGAACAAAAGAAGAGGAGAGAGAGAGTGGTAAAAGAAGAAGGGAGGAATCCGCGAAAATTTCTCGACCACCGAAGCGGCGGCAACTGCGTTCCCGAACGAACGAATAAAAAAATAGGAAAAGAAAGAAACGCGAGGGAAGGGAAAGGACACGTTTCCGAACGGGGATGAGGATAGTCGTGTGGGGAAGGGAGAGGTCAGGAAAAAGAAGAAACGTCGTCGTAACGACGGACGAGGACGACGACTACGAGTACAGCCCAAGCGCAACACCGACACGCGCGTCTCCACACGCCTTCTGCGACCGACGAAACTCTCCCTTCGACGAACCGGTTACAAGGGTGGGGAAGAGATAGGGTCTCTTTGGTGGGGAGTGTCGAGAAAGAAAGAGGAAGCAAGGGGAGGACAGGCTGTGTAAGGAAAAAGAAAGAAAAAAAGCAAGAAAGTACTTTCGGGCGGCGGCTGGATTCCCGTTGTCCGTGGTCAAGATACTCCAACTCCTGCGAAATTCCGACAACGCATCTTCTACTATCTCACCCACCGACTTATAAACGAAATTTTTCCTCACTTTATATTCGACGAATAATAAAGGGATATGTTTGAAATCTTTTTTATTTTGAATAGATAGATAAACTTGTTAAATAATTCTATCGAATCTAATCGATGGGGGGATGAAAGAATTAGCACGTGAAATAGAAAAAGGAAGAAAGAAAGAAAGAGAAAGAGAGAAAAAGAAAAGAAAAAAGAAAAACGAGCAAGAGGAGAGAAAGCACGCGGAGAATCACCCTGTTGAACGCACGGATTCAAGGGGTGTATCGGTGTGTCTAGCAGGATTCGGTATTTCGGTTCGCAACAGGTCTCAGGAGCGGCGCGTGTCCCACCTCCCGGTCCGTATCCCGCACACCGAGACAATCTCATGGACGCGCGCGCAATACAGACACACACATACACACATATATATACATCTACTGACAGCACCACACCCACGCGAGAGAGGGTGAGCAGCTGTTCGTGTCCTCCGCTTTACTCACCGACTACGAAGACCATATTCTTTGTCCATCGCAGCAGCTCCCGTCGGATATGTCTGCGTTCCTGTATACAGCGGGCATAGGGGCAATCCGCCATTTTTGAAATCACATCTTAGAATATGGGTGTGCGTGCCGGCCGGGTATGCCTGCCTCGTGTACCCGCGTGGACGTTCGCGTCTCCTTCGTTGCCACCGCCGCCGCCACCTCCT